AATTTAAAATTTTTTTTCGATAGATATGCATCCATGTTAGCAACGAAAGAAACAGAGTTACCGTCTGCATTGATCCCTGAAAAAAACTATCAGAAATCTTCGGCAATGGCAGAATACGCTTTACCACGTAAGTGGAGGTCAATTATTCTATGTTCTTTCTCAACGTGATGGCAAAGAGGACGCCATCGTTGGCATTTGAGGTTTAAGGTACCGATAGAACTCCTATGGCGCCATGTGTCTCTCCTGGTTTACTTAGGAACATTCTGAAGAACGCGTTTCAGTTAAGAAACCTTGTACCATACTTCTGACATAAAAGCAGAAATTCACACCTGCTCCACACGTTTCTAAAGAACAGTCCTGGGAGGAGGATCCATGACGATGAACTTTTGCATCCCAGCTCAGATTTAATGATGATCAGCCCATGTGGACAGGTGGTGATTTTACCGCTCATATCTCAGGCATCTCAACGCACTAGAAGGAATCCTAATGGTATGGGGATTAGAGTGCACTACAAGACCGTCAGAAGGTTAAGCACTATTTAAGCATTATTTATAAAGATGCCCAGTAGTCAGGAAGAAGTGTTAAATGTGGTATACAGATTAATGTACGAAGACCGAGATAAGTTGCACAACGGAAAGACTAACCTCAAGTTGAACATTCGGATCGAAGAGCATCGTTCTGCAGTCCATTTTGGAAAATCAGACCATTCCCGCATTACCCAGCGTGCGATCCCTGAAGGACACTCTTTAGTAAAACCATCCGTCAATATCGTATCTGTCATGGAGAAACACCATTCTATATTAGGTCCGCTGATGAAGAAGTCCCTGCATATTCTGACAATGAAATACCGGATGTGCAAAGAATACATTTCATCAGTGGATATGAGTGAAAGCTGGGGAATAGTCGCAAAATTGGGGCAACGTATCAAAGACCCGATTGTTTCCATGTGAACATTATACTCTGTTTGTTGATACAATTCTGTTTGTTAAGCTTAATAATGCTCTGATTGTGTAGCAGAGCCATCTGATAAACAGTGCTGTTCACTTTTGGGACATAAATGTCTTCAAGCAGCTATTTGTGCACAGACCTGATGATGCTACGGTGTATGTAGCAAAACGCGTTGGCAGTAAAGATTTTGCCATATGTTGCATTTTGTGCCCTGAACCATGAATCATACAACCACGTATCGTCCCGTATCATTGAAATGTCAAAATCATCTTCCTGTATCACCCTGGACATTTCCTGTATCGTCGAAGCTCTGATTAGATCGCACGTACCTGACGAAGGAACATCCATCAGAACGAGGCTCGATGGGCGATATCAAACAGAAAAATTGCATCTACACGATTCAGATGACCCAAATCTGAAGTACAACCTCATAGTATTCTCTTAACTTACGTAATGCTGGCATCGCTCTGAGTTGAGGCTAGTACCTGAAATAACCATTTCGTCTGTTTAAATGGGCATAGCTACACGTCTTGTGTCAGCGAAAAAAATCAGAAGTGCTGTGCTTCTGTGATGAAGGAACGAAGAAATTGATCCCAAGTTCCTAAATCCTTTCTTGACACATTATTGCTCATCTATTAACTCAACTCCACCGTGCAACTAAGACATGGAGCGATCATTATGTTTGGCCAACGTGAAATGTACGGAATTCATCAATCAAGTCGAATACTCAGGTCATAAACATCCATCATATTTCTTTCATTCGCGTCTCCCTTAGCACCTATATGACAGATATGAAATCATCCCGTTTTTCGAAAGGTAACCAAGCAGAGTTTGTGATCGCACAGACGTCACTCAGCTACAGCCGTCGTCCATCGTTGGTCATTGAACAAAGTTACCTGTCCAACTTGTCCCTGTTGCTCTTTCTTACAAGATGACATCTTTCACTCACGCTTGTTGCAAGATTTCCAAACTGAAGATGCAACGCCACTCTTACAAGACTCCGTCAATAACAAACAGCTGATGCTACCATGCTTCACAATTGGCAATCCCGTTGAACTGAATGTGTTGTTTCGGAAAATGGGACGCTTTTGATGGATTAGAAGGCGAGTCAACATGTTTTATTCATGATTTCTGGTACCTGACCATGAGGCTCGTTCAGTTTCTGGCCTAAAAATAGATCTATTTCCATCCGTTCCACATGACTTTGTTCAGCAATTCTGACTTTCTGCAGAATTCGCTTTCAATTCAAAACAAATGCATTAATAACACTTCGCCGCTGCCTGCCTCCAGCTCGGTTGAGAATGGAGGAGGGTTGAAAATTGTGGCGATGCATCCCGTAAAACTTAGCGACATGTTCCTCATGGTATTGCGATTGTCGAACGTTATACCGGACCTCCAACTCGAACGTGATCAGAAAAGGTGTGTAAGGTGGCAACAAAAGCAAAGCGAAAGCCACAGCAAATTCCTGAGAAAAATTCGATAACGTGCTGGAAACGGATACCCAGACGGCAAACAAGGTATTCTGGAAGATTGTTTGACGGTGAGGAGGTGAAAAGAAGGACAGTCTTGATGGGCAAATCTGAATATCCTCTTACTGTGGATGAAGGCATTCTTTGGCAATGAAGAGAATACTTTGAGGAACTCCTTAATCCCGAGCAACCGCGGGAAGACTCGTCTGCAAAACAGCAGGGAACGGATATTACTATTTCTGTAGAT